TGTCAAATCGAACAATAACGATACATACAATAGTAAACTTCTCATGTCAGTAAAATATAGTGAGACTATTGATTCTTCGTATCTTATCAGTTAGAACAGAGAAACATAGTGAGCTAGACGCAAGTGTTCTCTATCGAAATCATGATGTATTTTGTTGTTTATTATTGTTTCATTTATATAGGAAGAACTATTTAAAAGAAATTCTTTCCAAAATTATTGTATCCTCAATAAAATTTCGCTATCTTATCATTTATCTATATACGAATTAATTCAGTATACATAAATTTAGTTAGAACTTATATATATATGTCGTATATATATATATATATATATATATATATATATATATATATATATATGTCATGTAAATTCGTTGGAATTATTAACCAAATTTGATAGGAAATTCAGAACTTATAGTCATAGGAGAAATGCAAAGCCAACAAAAATATTCATTCCTGAGGATAATCCTCTTCTTAGAAGGATTATAGTTGTTATTTTGTTTTCGCAAATATGCAGTTCGTTCGTATATATTCTAAAGAATTCATCGGCTTTCTCATAGATGAGACCAACTTTGAGAAGAAATAATGCATAATAACTTGAATTGAGTCAAGGAAGACAAAAAATGAAAGAGAGGAAGAGAGAAAGAGGAAGACAGAGAGAGAGAGAGAGAGAGAGAGAGAGAGAGAGAGAGAGAGAGAGAGAGAGAGAGAGAGAGAGAGAAGAAGAAAGAGAGAAAAACACTGACGACACAGTGAAGTTTTTCTTTTATTCAGAATCTTACCGTATTGAAATGAAATACGCGGAAAGTGCAATTTGTTATGGAAAATCCCTATGAGACGTTGGATGGAGTGAGGAAAAAGGGGATCCATCAGGAAACTTACAAGTCGTAGAGAAACGTAGTCTCTTTTCTTAGATTCTTCTCCGTTTTCTGATTTTCTTTCTTCTATCTCCGTTTCTTTCTAATCTTTCTCATTCTCTCTCGTTTTTCGGTTTCTTTTTTTCATACCAAGATGTATATTAGCAGATGGTAAAGTAATTTCTAAGATACGATTCTCATTTCTTCTTATTTTCTTTTCTTCTTTTCTGCATATGTCTTATCTTTTCCATACGAATGCTTTAAACTTTTTAAAATTATTATTATTATTATTATTCGAATGAAATAAAATATGTAACTGTTGTAAGTGTTTTTCCTTTTTTTCTTTTGTTCTTTTTGTCTTTCTTTTTCTTTCTCTCTTTTTTTGAAAAAGTTCAATTAAACGAAGAAAAACGTTCGATAAAAGAACAAATAATTTCATAAGCGACTACTTGATCGCGATAAACCGAGTGAATGAACCAACTTCGATAATAACAGAAATTGGATAATAGAGGCTTGCTCCTCGTTCCTATTATTAGCGCTGATTGGTTCTGTTCTCGGGGTGCTTGCGGATAATCAATACATTACACGATATTAATCGTTACAATAAATGAACGTGTTCATATTTATATTGTTATCAATGTGGAAAACAAGTCGATTTTATTGTAGATCTTCCGTCAAGATAATACATATTTATGATTATTCATTAATAGAAATATAAACGTGTCTTTTTCTTTTCTTTTTTTTTTTTTGTTAACGAAAAATATTAACAATTTTTTAAATATTTGATTATGATATGTTAAAGAAAAAAATAAATATATAAATATATCATTCTCATAGAAATAATTTTCATCGTTGTATGGCCTTATGTATGCCTTACAATAGATTAGAAAGCAATCGATCATAAATATCTAAGGAAACGTCGACGTCGTCGAGCGGTAAGGCTGATAAATTATTGTTACGAACTCTGTATACGTTGCACGTTGAGCTTGGGATAAATTTTGGCAACGAAATTCCAAATACGTATGTATACATGCTTCCACTTTGAAATAGATAACGCTACTAATATAATTTCTACTGTTTGATTAAGTATTATAAACCGCATCTAGACGAACAAAAAAATGAATATTATCGTTTACACAATGCCGCAAAAAAATGGTTTAAAAAATTTAGTTTTTCAAATATGTTTTATTCTTTTTTTTTTTTTTTATTATTTCAAAGAGTTAAAGAACAAAATGAACTGCAGCTACATTGGAAGTGTTTTTTTTTTTTTAACATTCGAGATATTAATAACAATTCTTTTTTTTTTTCCATTCATAAACCAAATATCCATCGTTCGAATTACGCGAAAAAAAATCAATCACTCTTATTACAGATATCAATGATAAATTTTGATTCAGGAATATCGTGAAAATATATTTTGAGAGTGTCTTTATCAAATAAAATGGAAAATATTTTTTTCACAGTGCTATAAAATTGTACGAAAAGAATGGTAGAATAGAATAATGGAGTCCAAAGGAGAATATGGAGATGAAAGTAATAAAGTAACAGCCAATGAGATCGGCTGTGAATAAGAAGTTCGAGGGTGCGTAATAGCAGGAAACTTTTCTGACTTCATCCGCAAAGTAATCGCTTAAATTCAAACTGCATTTCCACCGCTGCAGGTTTTATTACTCGAACTCGCTCGATCGTCATTTTACTTCGAGCTCTTTGCTTTTTTAGAGATTTCTCGGCATTTACGATCTCAGCTCGCAGCTGTTCGTAATGCGGACATATATACAGCTGTTAATATCGAAAGTATGCAAGGAACTCGGTGCCATTTTGAAATGTTAAATCAAAATGTTAAAGAAAAGAACAAAGGAAAAGAGAACTCAAACTATCAAATATCCGAGATCGTCGAGAAGCAAAGATCGACAAAAATTTTAATTAATCGATAAAAAGACGGCAATGGACATAGTAATGTTATTACACTAGAGAGAAGTTAATTTCTTTTTTTTTGTAGTCATAAGTTCATCGTCAGAGATAGTAATAAACGAAGGGATAGACGAATGGCTTGTTTGATTATTAACGTGAACAATGTATGCACAGGTTATAGATAAAAATTTGTATTCTCAGCAAAATGAGATAGAAAAAGAAAGAGATAGATAGAAAGAGAAAGAGAAAGAGAGAGAGAGAGAGAGAGAGAGAGAGAAAGAGAGAGAAACAGAAAAAGAAAGAGAAAGAGAAAGAGAGTCGTTGGCTCATGGCCTGGTGCTTCACTTTTTTGTTCAGAGTGCAATACTCCGAACTGCAGTGCCATTACCAAAATTGCTCAGCGATCCTGGTTATACATCCACTTACGAGGACTTTTTAAAACTTTCAAAATTTATTAATATTCCGGTTAAGAGGAAAAATTTGTTATATATGGCACCACAGAATTCATTAATTACTTACAATCGTATGTGAGTACATATATATATAAATACATAAAGAAGTACTTAGAGAAAGTAGAACGTTTAACAAGCCGTGCAGGCTTAATTACGAAGATCTCGTGAAGCTTTTTTGTACTTTCTCTCTCTCTCTCTCTCTCTCTCTTTTTGTCCGACTGCCTCGTTTTTTCTTTGTTCCTTTCTTTTTTTGAAAAGTAAGGAAATATAATATTTTATAAAATTCTATAGTAATATAATTATTAGTGATTATATTAAAATTTCAATAATACCAAGAAATAAGGTTTATAACGTTCAATCAGTCTGTCAATTAATTTTTGTAAAATTCATTTCACGAAATAAAAATATGAACATAGAGATTCACGTATAATATAATTTTTTTACCAGTTGCATAAAAAGTAATATGTTTTGGCTTCTGCGAAAGTTTTCATTTTTAAAGCTAGATGATATAATACAGATGAAATAGTATCTCAGCCGTACAATTACGTCTTCTTTGTTTTTCAACTGAAGTTAGGAATGTCTAGACGGCGAAGTGACCCAAAGTGAGAAAGTTCATTTAATTGCAATTGGAAAAAGAAAAAAGGTAAGGGGCGAAGTAGAAGAGTATCTACTATTTTATGTACTTTTACTTTTGTACATCCTATCTGATTGCGTTTAAAATTAAAAATTAAAAATTAGTTGACCTAAGAGAAGGTCTTCCTTCGTTAATCGCAAGAAATTAATCGCCTTGAAATATTTTCCGATGTAAACTGATTATCCTCGTAAACGTTTTATTAGTATACAAGAACAAATGCATTTAATTTTCTCCGTCATTTATAGAAAAATTTTCACGTGATGTAAAAACATATAAGCAAATAGTTTAGCATAAAATTTGTGAGATTAAGAAGAATGTTTCATTTTCTTAATTGAAAAGTGATAATGCTAATGAGTTTCGTTGAACGAAACGGTCATTCATTTCTATGAAAACTTTTAAGACATTACAATTGTTTTTATTAATTTAACTGTAGATATTGTAGCTGCAAATATATGCTAATATCGATTCTTCTGTTTCTTTTTCTTCTTCTTTTTCTTCTTCCCGCGAATAACTCGTAAGAAATTTTCTTAAAGTAACGCAAGGGGGATACTTGTTCAGAAAAAGTAAAAACGATTCGCCGAGGGCGAAAATCCGATGTCGTATTTCTTGGAAACGTGAGTGTGCTTAAGGTAAGTCAGGTTGAATGAAAGAGGTAGTCAAAACAGGCTGAAGTCAAAAGGCTTTTTTCCGGCTAACTAAGCACATATAAATAAGTAAGAGAGTCCTACCCTTGAAAAGTCACTCGTGTTAGAATGACTTGGTAAAAGAAGGTAGGAAACCTTGGAAAAACGTACTGATTTTATATATTTCACTTTGCATAAATAGATTTCTTGAATCACGTTAATTATGAATTTTCATCTTTTCTTATTCGTTCAGTCACTCCAGCCATTGATAATTTTATTAAACTGCTAAATATATAAATAAATAAATAAATAAATAAAAAAACAAATAAAAAAGTAATATTAAAGATGATTATTTCATAACATCTATGGTAATATTGAATAAATTGATTCTAAAGAAGTGCTTTAATATAACAAGATTGAACAAAGTTCAAACGTTTTTCATATAATTCGCATAAATTTTGATATATATATATATATATATATATATATATATATATATTCGATAAATCGTTTGTGTCTACTAGATAGAGAAGCATGTATCCTACAGTAAAACTATGTTTTACGAAGAACAGATGCTCTAACGAAGGACATCGAATGTCGAAAGCTCTGCGTCTTTGGGGAAAAGAGCCGAGTCCTGTTAGGCGACGGACAGAGTGGACGGGCAGGAAATTCGCGCGGCACGTTTCATGATCGCGACAGCGTATATACAAGGTGAGACGGAACGAGACGTTACGAGTCCCATGGGAACCGTTTCGTGATATACGTATAAGAGCCGTTCTCTGCGTTCCATTGAATAACTCAGTGTTGCACACCGCCACCGTTCTCAGCATCTTCTCTTCTTATCCTACGTTGCCTTTTACCCCAACCTCGTTTAGGGATCATCCAGTTCAAGTAAAGGAAAAAAAACAGAAAAAAGAAAATAATGAGAATGGAAAGAAGGAAAAATCAATAATCTCGTTTGCCACACATACCGCTAAGACTGTCGATGTTTCTTTTTCTCTCCCTTTTGAAGGATTTGCGTCACGAAAATCTATGCTCCAATTTGATAATATGTATAAAATGTGTGTCAATAATCATGATAATTGTTTAAATCATGTCACTCTTAGTATTTTTCTAAAGAGAATTAGATTTTCTTAATTAATTAAAACTAAATTAATCGAGTTAAAGAATAAGAATGATTTTTATTCTTTTATCATCCATTATATTCGCATAAAAAACATCTAATACTAAGAGGATTAGATTTGTTTAATTAATTAATAATAAATGATCGGTTTAAAGAGTAAAAATGATTTTTATCCTTTCTTCATTTTATTATATTTGTATTAGTACCAAATCCTGATATTTTAATCATCAAATTCACTTTTGAACAATTTCATATGGACCATAAACGTATAAGTAAGTATAGATATGGTTTGAGGAGAGATAGAGACAGGAAGCATGTATATTTAACAAACGTTGAAGTTGGTCGACGAAATTTCGGTGTATCTCTACTGCGAAGAAGGGAAGTCGTCGAGTTGGTTGAGAGAACGACGGACTGTGTTGGTTAATAGAACAATAGGAGTCGTAAGCGGAAAACGGTCTATTCGGGTATTTGCATTTGCGGTATGCATTGCACATTGAATGCGACTAAATGATGCCTAGGTTTCCACGTATGCGACGAAATTGTACGCGTACGTCTTCGTCGTCACTGTCGTCGTGGTCGCCGTCGTCGTTTTCGTTGGGATACATCTAGACATCGTTAAAATGGAAATGGAAACGAAGTTGTAGCGATTCGTTAACTGAGAAACTACGGTATGCGACTCGATGTTTGAGCAAAGAAGCCGATAGAGTACGGACACCTCTAAATCTTGTACTATATATTCCTTGAATTTGAGATAGATTTCAACAAATTAAATAAAAAAAAATGAAAGAAGATACTTTAGATACGTAGAGAATAAAAAATAAATCGTAATTATAAACTAAGTCCGTGTGAAGCTATGCATATGAGAGTTAAATATATAAATTTGTTTAAGAAAAATGTTATGTAAATTGATATATTATAAAAAAAATTATTATATAACTATATTCTTTTTTAGGTATATTTTTCAAATGCAATTAGTTTTCAAAATACAGTTATACTTTTAGCAAAAGAAATACATATTTGTATACTTCCTCTTTTTTTTTCTTTTCTCTCTTTTATTTCTTTTTTCTTTTCTTTTTTGTTTTCTATTTTTTCTGTTTTATTCTCACTTTCTATTTCTTTTTCACCTTTTTTTAATACTTGCATCTTTCCTTTTCTTGAAGTCTATCCGCCCCCTTTTCCTCAGTTCTCTATGTCTTCCCTTTCATCCCTCCACTTGCCCTTCTAAGCACGACATGAAATAAAAAGAGAGTAAATAGTCTGCGCCGTCGTCTCAGAGTACATAGGCGTTTGGCACGAAACCAAATTTCACCGCACCACTACAACCATCAAGACGGTCATCAACGACGGGGTTGAGAGAATACCGACACGCGAGAATAGTCGACCGATCCTTTTATACTAGTTTCCTATCTCTTTCTCTCTCGCCTGTTCTCGCTCGATTCCTCCGAAGAAGAGAAAAGTTTCTACCTTTCGGTTCTCCCTCGTTAACTGTACGAAGGACTGCGAGATTATTCGACCTCCGGAAGAGCTTATCCCATGAAATCAACAAAAAGAAATAGTTTGACGTTCAATTCTTCAAACTGAACGACTCTCTCTCTCTCTCTCTCTCTCTCTCTCTCTCTCTCTCTCTTTCTCTCTTTTTCTCTTTTTTTCTCGGTGAGAGATACCGATTCTGATTTCTTTCATTGATTTTATCGATTATTGAAGGACTTTCCTAATAATTTATCAAAGGTTTAATTCGAAGAAGTCCATCGTTTCAAATTATTTTATATAATGAGCTTCTTTTATTCCTTGATATTGGAAAGCTGTAAAAATCAATAAAACATATTTCATAGCGTCAGTTAATATTTATAAAATTTTCTGTGTTCCTGGTTTCGTCAAAAAATATTATTTTGCACTCTTTAATCAATTTAAATTATGTTTCGCATATCAACAGTTCGATATACATCCTAACTTTACTGTCTGAAATTCGACTAATTGTAAATTGTATTTTTATTCGGACTATTAATTTATTTTATTCATTAATTTTCGGCACGTATAAACTTCATACCGAAGTAACGATGTTACAAAGTCATTTCAACATTCCGCATTTACTATGTTACGAAAGACCATTACACCGTAAAACCGCACTCGATCAATACCGTCATCGAAAATGACGTTGCGATCGGTAAGCGAAATACGTTCTATCGTCGCTTTGTTTCGAGTTCCGCGTCTAGTTTTCAGTTGGAAATGTGGAACAGGAATGAGTGAGTGAGAGAGAGAGAGAGAAAGAGAGAGAAAGGGAGGAGAGAGAAAGGGAGGAGAGGGGAAGGGGGCGTGAGAGAGAGGGAAAGAGAGAAAGAAAGAGAGAGAGAGAGAGAGAGAGAGAGAGAGAGTTACGCGTAGCGCGTAACTGTTTGCTAATTATCGCCAATTAATCTGGTCGCTTTGCGTTCGTACGTCTGTCATCGAACCGTGACATGTGGGCAGCCCGTTATAACCACGGCAGCCTATAGCCGAGATTGTGCTCGTTATTAACGATTCGATCGTTCATTCAAGAGCAATCGCGAATAACGAATATCTCTCTCACTCTGTCTGTCTCTTTCTCTATCTATTTCTCTCTCTCTCTCTCCCTTTCTCTCTCTCTCTCTCTCTCTCTCTCTCTCTACCGCGACAAACAGTTGCGGTTGGTAGAAGAGGGACCTCTGTGTCATACGGAACATCCGATGATTGTGTCCTTGAGAAGTATACTGTGGTTTGAAATCAATGACACGAATGAATTCCAACTATAGCATGGACCATTCAACGGGATGTTATATACATCATAGTCCTCATAGTCGCTCGAAATTTTTTCCGATCGCTCTTTGATTAATCGACGGTAAGATGAAATTCTTGTGTGAGTAATTTTCTTTTGGGAATGAACTCTTTATATTCAAGGAAAGGTCGAATTTCTCGTCGATTGCATTGAAAAGGAAGGTCCACTAAGATCTTTCGTAACTGCAGTAGGAATTCAGGAATTTGAGAACTTTTTAAAAATCTTTTAAAATTTTCTATGAGATAAAGGAAGTTTTTGAAGTCTCGTAAAAATAAAAGATTCGTTCTGAAATATGTTCGTTCACGAACGAATTAAGATGAGAAATATCGAAATTCAATTATTCGTTTATTAAGATCGTAATTTAGTACCGTATTGAAAAATCATTAAACATCCAATTTATGAACTACTTAGTCGAATAGAACTTTGGTCCATTTTAAGTATTTACTTATTTAATTAATTTTCGGATATTTCTATATTTCGTTATTAAGAAACGTTTTTGTCGAAAGTTCATTAAATTGTACTGAGACTTACAAACTCTCTGTAAATTAACGCAAGGATTTGCTTACCTTTGCTCTCCGTCTCTCTTACTACGTTCTTAATGAATCCGAAATATCTTTCGTTGCTAGTAGAATTCTTGCTTCCATTTTCAGAAGGAATGAAAGAGAAGATCGTGTTTATTATGGTTTAATGTTCATTCTATGATTTAAAGATGTCTATTTGGTACAATATTGTGATTCAAATAGAATTTTCAATATTATAGTATATTAATATCTTGCTGATTAAATTGATTTAAAAAATGTACGAATCATACAAATATCCATTATATTTGGCATTACCATCGTACACGATAATGGTTCAAAAAAATAAAAAGGCATATAAAGATAAAAGAGAGAAAAAGAGAGAGAAAGAGAGGGAGAAAGAAAAAGAGGGAGATAGAAAGATAGAGAAAGAAAGAGAAAGAGAGAGAGAGAGAGAGAGAGAGAGAGAGAAAGAGAAAGAGAGAGAAGAGAAAATACAAAGGTCATATTAATTATTATTCTATGTAAAGCGTATAGTCCATTAATTAAGTACTGCATTTCTCACTGCCAATTAATTTCGCTGTTGCAATCGTTGTGCGATATCACGCAGGAATGGCTTGTTAATTATCAAACCTCGAGGGCGTCACGTTACAAGTGCGAGATCGTTACGAAGATGCTTGATTACACAATTAGCACGTTTCTTCTGGATCATCGAATCAATTATTTGAACATCAAACTAGGTCATCCGCTGACTTTGACAGAATTGGCTTTTACTAAACGATTCGTTCGCGTGAATTGACCGATTATTTATAGCCCGGTGAAATCAAAAGTGATATTGGATAAAGTTCTTACTTTGGAAAAAAATCAAAGTACTTTGAGAGAAGGATACATTATTTTCTAAAAAAGTTTGATCTTAAAATTAATTAATCGAGATTTATCACGAAATATATAACGTCGGAAAGAAAAAAAAGGTCATTATATTATTATATTTAGAATTAATAAAATGCTTTATTAATAAAATGCTTTTCTGTTCTTTTTTTTATTTTTTCTTTGTATATTGCGTATATATACTATTCTTCTTTTACCATATTATCGCTAATAGTTATTCGTATTTGTACTATCGTATTTCCCACTTTAATGATTACTATTTGCCCATATTGATATAACATAATTTATATATGTTGTATGTATATTATAAAACTGCAAAGTAGAATAAAAACAATTTTATTCATTTTTATATTTGATTAAATAATTTGATTAAATTTGATTAAACCAATAA